TCACCTTCGTCATGCTGCTGCCCTCCAGGAGCTTCTGGTACGCCGTGGTCAACGGCGTGGTCTTCAACAGCCTGGCTGTGCTGGCGTTGGCCTCCCACCTCCGCACCATGCTGTCCGACCCGGTGAGGAAGCTGACGGTTTTAAGGGAGGCCTGCTGGCTGTTTTCGGGTTCGTTGCAACTAACTTGTCCGTGTTTCCTCCGTGCTCTTCTCAGGGAGCCGTTCCTAAAGGAAACGCCACCAAAAAGTACATGGACAGTCTGCAGCTGAAGCCGGGCGAGGTCATCTACAAATGTCCAAAATGCTGCAGCATCAAACCTGAGAGGGCTCATCACTGCAGGTCAGTTTAAAGCTGCCGAACACAAAAGCTGACCGCAAACAATCGCCTATTCAGACATCCAACAGAGTCAGAGCACCATTATCGTCCCACTGCATGACATTGGTTTCAGTGTCTTGTAAGCTGCTAACTACGTCTGACTGCTGTTTGGTGCTGAGCAGGTCGGGTACAGCGGGTTTATCTGAGCTTGTTTGATGAACCACCACAGAGGAAACTGCCATAAAACCTAACGAGGATCTAAAAGCTTCTGTAGAGCTGCAGAGTTGGTGATAATTCTCTCTGGCTTCAGCACTATGAGCAGCGCCTTCTGCATCACACGTTCTCATTTGTTATTCATCTGTTAAAGATAAGGAGCGGGCAGCCCAGGTGATTGTTTTGAGCGTGTTAGGAGATAATAAGTTGGTCTAGTCAGGAAGTAATACTTCCATGTTCTCTATTTTTCTTCTGCAGTATCTGTAAGCGCTGCATCCGCAAGATGGACCACCACTGTCCCTGGGTCAACAACTGTGTCGGGGAGAAAAACCAGCGCTTCTTCGTCCTCTTCACTGTAAGTTCACTTACTGCCGTGGCCACTTATCTGATTGAGGGACTTTCGCAGAGGACAACCAGAAAACTGCTACATTTTTTGGAAAACGAGAGATGAAAGGAAGAGACGGGAGGGCTTGTTGCATCGTTAAATGACTCCCAAATGAATCCCTTTTTTTCATCTCCGACTCCTGGAAACGAGTCAGTCTTCGTCTGCTGACTGAGGAAGTAACCATGGTGACAAATGTGTGTGAATAGAGTAGCCTGTGTTCAGGTCTGTGTTTGGAGCTCAGACGCTCCACCAAGTGTTACTTACACTTACTGACTGCAAACCTTTCAGGTTACAGATGCAGCACTGGGCGGGTCTATAGGCCGCCGAGCCCCTAGAACGCTCCTAGTTTTTCCAGACCCTCATCGTTCCAGCTGACGTGGCCACACCTAAGTGACAGAAAGCAAAAAAAGGAAGGGCAGGGGAGCTGTCGGATACCCGAGGGCCAAGCTTTAAACACCTTCTGCGCTGCCTGTATTTGTGCACATTGTTAGCCATAAAAAAAAAAAACATTTGCACCTTTTTGCATTCAACGGCGTCTAAACTCTGTCGCTCATGTGGGTAAATGATAACGGGCTGAAACTGTATTTCCTGGTACATGTTTTCTGTCCACAGATGTACATCGCTATAATCTCCAGTCACGCTCTGGCTCTCTGTGGATACCAGTTCGTCACCTGCGTCAGAGTGCAGTGGAGAGGTGAGGCCTGAAAACCGCATTTAAACTTTATATCAAATGTTCTTTTATCCTCTTCCCGTTTTTTCTTATTTGGTGCTGCGCATCAAACCTCAGTCCAGCTTTGGTACGTTCAGGAAAGGCTCTAATGTCTCATAATTAACAAATGTCGGCCTCGGATGTAAAATTCATCTTTGATCAGATAGCTGCCGATTTTCCTTTTTGTTCTCGTACAGGCTTGTACTCTTACTGTGTTTTTCTGTGTCCAGAGTGCAGTGATTTCTCCCCTCCCGTGACGATGATGCTGATGATCTTCCTCTGCATGGAGGCCCTCCTCTTCCTCACCTTCACAGCCGTTATGTTCTGCACTCAGCTCCACTCCATCTGCAACGACGAGACGGTGAGCGCATAAACGCGGGTTCTGCATGTTCTACTGTATTAAAGTAATTATCACCACCCCCGTCTGTCCTGTGTGTAGTGAGGACGGATATAATACAGTATCATCCGTGTGAAGGTTACTCTGCATCTAAAGCTGAATTTCTACTTGATGCAGGAGGCAAACAGCAGGTTTGTGTTTGAGCGTCTGCAGCACTAGATGGATGTGTTGTACATGAGTAATCATCCTACTATAATTATATTCCACACAGCAACTGTGTTTACAAGTTTGTCTGCATGTTGGATGCAGAATATTCTAAATTGATTTCTCATGTTGTCTTCACTCTCAGCTAGAAGACCCTGTTTACTGTAGGAAGGAGTCTAACGGGTTGTGCGTCTGTGTTTTAGGAGATCGAGCGTCTGAAGAACGAGAAGCCGACGTGGGAGCGTCAGACTCGCTGGGCGGGACTGAGGACGGTGTTTGGAGGGCGGCCGTCGCTGCTGTGGATCAGCCCCTTCGCTGGACTCAAACTACCGTCCCTTCTCCCGAGGCGCACCTGGAAGGGCGGGGCGGAGTTCTCCGTCTGACCAGCTGTCATTCAAACGCTGCACAGCGGAGTGAATCCAAATAAACCGCTGTGGCGGTGTTTCATGGTGCTGATGAACCTGCAGAGACCCGCTGGGTTTGTTTTTACCTGTTGGCTGTTTCTGAGCCCCAGAAAGCAGGTTCAGACTCTGCTGCAGTGCCCAGAAGCCAGATGGTCTCTCACCTTCCTGTTAGGTGGGGCAGCATCATCCCGACAGTCAGAATGATGCTCCTGGACGTGTGGAGAATCTTTGGACAGAGTTTCATCCGCATGAATCAGACTTTAAGTTTTTTAAAATCTGCTCATTAAGATGCTGGATCCTCTGAGAGCAGTTACTGACTACAGAAATCATTTTGTGTTTGTTGAAGTTGATCAATGAAATGAAATATCATAAACTGATAAAAATCATTTTTCCTGTTGATTTAAGTGACATCATCTGGTTAAAGTGGAGATTTCTTCACATTCAGTGTTTCTCACCAAAAAGTATTGTGCTGAATGTGTTTTATTCCTCATAAAATACTTGCAAAGCCGTTCACTGGAGGATTCTAAGGGATAAATTCAGTATTTCTTTATCATTTTGGTGTCAAAATGACTGTTGGGTAGAAAAAGATTTGGAATCTGCGCAGTAGATCGTTTCAGCCAGCTGCTGCTGCAACATGTAGCAACCCGGTTAAAAGAGGCAATCTGTGGCAGGAAGACAGCGGTGGAAATGTGAGTAAATATAGTTCCTCTACAACCACCTCCTCTCTCTGAAGCATGACGCTTCTTCTGCACAGACTCTAAAACATTTTGTACCTACTAATCGTTTCCAAATCAAAACCTGTGAAAATAGAGTCCAGGTTTAGAAATACCAACATTATCTTTAAAATCCTGTATTGTTTGCATCCATGTTTACTAGCGTGCGGTCTTCTTCGTCTTCTCTGCGTTTTGTTGACTCGTGTTTCTTGACGGCTCCTGTAGATCAGAATACTGTAACGCACGGCCGTGCACGAGACAGACAAACTGCTCCGTTCTGCTACTGGAGGTGTAAAACATTACAGGGAACCTTTAAGAAATCATGTTGCGTGCTAAAAAAATAATCAAACCACTTTTTTTTTTTTGCTTCCTTACAAGTAATATGAATCAAAGGTTTTTTCTTTCCTTATAAAGTCACATTTGTTTTTCACTTTGGCTGATGTGTTTCCTCGGGATAAACCCATCCCATTGGGCCTAATGCAAGAACTGTTGCGTTCTCATCCTAAACGTCTTTGTTACTGCGCAAACATGTCAAATGTCTTGGTTCAACCTGATGAACGACTCCTTTACACCCTCAAATGGTTATCAAAGACTGCCTGTTCCAAAAATAGAACTTATTTATTAGAAGTTTTGCCGTTGGACATTAAAAGAAAAAGGGATAGTAAAAGTTGTTATGCCAAAATAAAATAATAAATGCCAGTAAAATCCTGTTGTCAAACCTTTTTATACATTGAGAGCACATCACACTGATTATTGTGTCGTCCAGATTGAAATCTTTACATTATGTACCATTCATTTAAATCAATGTATATTTTTCAGATGTTCATGTGATGTTACATGTTACATGTACATTTATCTTATGACATTTCAGAGCCTTTTCTATGCCCCTTTGTTTCCAGACACTTAATAAATCGAGTTCCTCTCTACCTCTTTAAAGCATCGAAGCTTTTATTTGTTCTCCTGGTCGATATCTCTGACGTGGTTAAATGGACTTTGGCTGTTCCTGCTCCGCAGAGGATGAACACTTTTAGGTTTCGGTGAGTCCGCATGCCGGTGCTTTATTTCATACACCTGTGGCCATGGACGTGATTGGAACAACTGAATTCAATAGTTGTCCTAAAACCTTTGGCCAGTATAGTTACCTGCTAAACAAGAGCATGTTAGCATTTAGCAACTAGCCTGCTATAGCGTATGATGAGCTGGATACCATGTTGTGCCAGACAGATTAGAGTATTAATATACTCCTTTGTCATTGATTTGTCAGCGGGCCGGACAGGGGGGCAGACACGGGGATGGGGGGGCACAAACAGACAGCACAGAGGACAAGACCTGCAAGAGAAGGAGGATGGAAGGTGAGGACAACAGGGAAAAGCAGTGGGAAACACCAATTGCAGAAAGCAACAAAACCTGCAATAGAACAGAGAGGGGGGGGGGTTTGTAAGCACAGCCACACAGAGCTGCAGACATGGTTGTAGACTCCCTGTTTCGGGTCTTTGTGGAGTGTCTCTGGGGTCTAGATTTAACCTGACCCTCCTCTCCCCTAACATGTCTTGAAAACCCTAATGTCTGCCTCTTTTCACTTCTGATTACAGCTCAGGGTCAATCACAGTTGGGCGGTTAAGGTATTTGGGAGCTGTTTCTTCTTGCTTGTCCCTCGTAGTGAAATTATTGTGTGGTCAGACCTTTGTTCCCTCCTTCAGTCCCTCTCTGCAGGGTTGGTTTTTGACTCCATCTGTGAAGGAGGCCCAGTTTTCCCACTGACGGAGGCAGCAGTTTGGTGCCAGTTAATCATTTCTGATCTCTCCACGCTGCCTCACAGACTCGACCCTCTACACCTTTCATTTAGAGAAGCGGTCTCCATCTCTTCAGACATGTTTCCCTGCTTATTTCTTGTCCTGGTGTTTTGGGGCCCGGTTGGCGGCGGGCCCCTGACAAACCCCCACCCCGACATGACGGACCAGGAGCTGTTCTGGGGCAGCGACCAGTACGACTTCTCCGTGGTGCTTCCTTCTGCAGGGTTGGAGTGTTTCTGGCACTTTGCTCACCGCGGAGAGAGATTCTACGTGAGCTTCATGGTGAGAATCTGAGGCCTCGACACGTTTCTCTCCACATCAGCAGGTTCATAACGTTAACAAAAACAATATTTCAGGCTCTCTAGAGTTCTCAGATTCTTTCATGTAGTATAGTAGCATTTTTAAATTCTATTCAAATATAGTTATTTATGTAGTATTTTATATATATATATATATATTTAAATACAGTAGCTTATTTTCTTATAGTATATAGTAAGTTTTTTTAATTATATTTAAATTTAGTCGGTTATTTTACTATATAGTATGGTAGTATTTTATATGCATTATTTTATGTACATCTACAAATATAGTAAGGTATTTTTTATATACTTAAATAGTATATTTTTATGGATTTTACACACATTTACATATAATATAATAAGTTGATTTTATACATATAGTGGCATTTTAAATTAATAAAAATATTGCATTTTCACATATACTGTAATAAGTAGTTTTTTTTAATTTAGTATAGTAGTGGTATTACATGTAATACTCTTTTATATAGTCTGTGGTCGTACTGAATATATATTCAAATATAGTAAGTTATAGTAATAGTATTTTATATATATTCTGATATACTTTAGTAGGTTGTGGTAGGTTATTATATAATATATATGTATATATATATATTTTACAGTACTATCCTCACACATTGTATTTGACACGTGATCAAATCCTGTCGCCTCAACCACAATATCTACACGTTTCCTACAGTTTCCAAGTGTGACTCAGCACACTGCCTCTGTTCCTCCTGTCTGTCTGCAGGTCCAGTGGGTGACGGGAGTCGGCCACGACAGACACCTGTCTGTCAGCGTGAACGCTCCCAGCGGTCTGTTAGTGTCGACTGTTGATGATGCAAAGGGTCAGATCAACTTTGAGGCCGAGGAAACAGGTGATGCTGCCACAACACCAAAACAGTGTAAAAACACCAATAAAGCACGACATGTTGGGACGTTTAAAAACGTGACTGATGGGAATGCAGCTTGATGAGGCAAAAACAAAAAGAAAAGTTAGATAAATAAGTACTTTTCTGTTGAGCAAACTGAAGAAAGCTTAACACCAAAAAGTTTGTGCTGCTTTAAATCTCACTGAACTAAAAATGACATGAGATGTGAGGTACTGTACTTACCATAAATCTTCAGTCCCAGTTGGACGCCTGTCCCTTTCACTGGCCTGGTTTCGCTGCATGTTTTGACAGTCTGCATGGTTTTAATAGAAGTTCTTTGGATGTATAAAGGCCACCAGGTCACTTTAGGCTGCTTAGAACAAGCAGACAAACATAAATGTTAAACTTTTGTCCGTATGGACACAGACTTTCTTACAATGTGTAGCATACATCGTTAGATTCCCCACAGTTCCGTCGTTCAGTTCATTTCTATGCAAACAAATTAGATTTACTGGTATGTTACACAAGCAAACACATATTTATACAAGTAATATTCATACTGGTTAAAATTTGATAGTAATTTATTTCACATCCTTGCTGAGCGAGAGTTTTGTGCAAAAGGAATTAGACACCTGTCCCAAATATAGGCAGCTTGAGTTCAGTGATTAAAGCAAATAAAACCTCGGGCTATTTATTAAAGTTTTACGGTAAGTACAATTATGAGGTACTTTACTTTGGCATTTCCAACTTCTGTTGTACTCCACTACATTTCAGAGGGAAATATTGTACTTTTTACTCCACTTCAACTTTAATACTGTTACTTTGCAAATTCAGATTAATGATATAAAATATGATCAACATAGAAATGATGATGTATTAATTACTTACACTTTACTTTATGGATTTATTGATCCATTGATGATATTGACAAGCTGCCCAGCAGTATAGGAAATAAATTGATCTCCACCAGCTGCAACATTAAAGTGATCAACACATTAATGCATCAATAATCATTATTAAATCACATAATGTTTAATAAAGTATTTAGTGTTAATGACATTCACATGAGTATTTCTACACTATGGTACTCCTACTTTAAGTTAAATATCTGAGTGCTTCTTTCTCCACTGCTCCTGTCATTAAGCAAAGATGGTCAAAAACCTGCACAGATCAATCAGTGTGATCTCTATGATCTTATCACATTCTGTGCCTTTGGTCTTCCTCACTTCCTGTGCGTCTGTCCAGGTTTCTATCAGATGTGTTTCAGCAACTTCCACAACCACTTTGGCACCATGCAGGTCTATCTCAGCTTCGGCGTTTATTACGACGGCTTCCAAGACCCGGACAAGCGCAAGGAGGACGAGAAGAAGAAGAAAGAGGAAGTCAGCAAAGACCTGAACAACACTCTGAGCGTCATAGAGGTGCACACACACAATACTGCCGTAGTTACACCATCACCACCATCTATTCAGTCAGTACTACACCACTGAGTAGTATTAGTAGTAACAACTGTAATAGTACCAGTAGTAGTGGTTTAATAATAGTAATAATGGGTTGCTGTGTACTGACAGTAGCTTTGGTATTATTGGTAAGTTGTCGCAAAAGTTTCTTTATAGGGCACCTTTAATACACTAAAACATTTACAGTATGAAGTAAAACATCAGTAATAATAGTAATACTAATAGTAGCAGCAGTAGTAGCTAATATTAATAGCTGAAATAGTATAAGTAAATATTTGAATGGCTGTTGTAGTAGCCTAGTTGTAGTTCTTATTATTGATGATGTAAAAGTTTAGCAGTAATGTTTGTATTATTTGTATTTGTCTGTGTTCTGCTGTTGCAGGATGCGAGTCACAAAGTTGAGAAGTACGTCTTCCACATGTTCCGTTACTACAGCTTCGGCCGCATGAGGAAGAGCGCCGACTACTTCCTGCTGCTGTCCAACTCGCAGTACATCACCTGGTGGTCGACGGCCCTGAGCGTCCTCATCGTCGCCTCGGGTTACCTGCAGCTCCTCTTCCTCAAAAGACTCTTCATCACCAAGACCTTCACGGAGGAGGAGAAGCCCCGCTGCTGACAGACTCGTTGACTGTCGGGATGTTTAGAAACATTAAACCCTGTCTGCATGTGTGAGGGTAGGGAGCACATTTTTCTTCCTGGTATTGTATCTGTGTACTTGTGTTTCTTTACACAGTTTAAATAAACTTTACTGTTAGATGATCATGTGATTGGTTTGTGATGTTTTCTCTTTAGAGCAGTAAAACAGCCACTAGGTGTAGCCAGGTTTAAATTCTTGAGCCCTGACGCCCCTTGTCCGGGGGCAGCATCGATGCTACACACCTCTGTGAAGCTAGGAGGCTCAGCTAGAAGCTCAAATAAACCATTTTTATCCACATTAAACACACAAACACCAAGCATCTAAATGACTTTATATCACAACATAAATCGCTCTGTACATGGCTGCAGTTATAAGCATCCAGTTATCTCTAATCACAGCGTAACCTCATGTCCAACCTCTCAAACCAAAACTAATCTGAGATCAGCTATAAAGCTCACATCACTAAAATCACCAACATTACAGACTAATTAGCTGGATAAAAGTAACAACAAACTCACCAATATACATATACAATCACAACCGCTGACTTATTTTTGCCATTTTCTGCGTTTTCAGTCCAAAAATCAGCTCATTTGATTCTAAAAATATCTCCGGATGCTATCTTGATTATTGTGCAATACCAGGGAGCTGTGCCTGCCTTCTCTCACCTTTTTCTGCAGAGAAGGAGAAGTGCTGCTTTGGAACGCACAGTGATATCGCGGTCTGGCTGCCGACCCGTAGTAGCTACACATCCAATATACCAAACGATTCGTCTACTCAAGACAAAGAGATAGAGCCTACTTCCATTCCTGCCCATGATGTTCCGTTATCAAGTCACGGGCCTAAAGCATGGGAGTTCATTCGGTCATAGTGTTGACGAATATTCACTGTTTTTATCAATACTTCAATGTGTTGGAAGCTTTGTGTTATTTGGAGCGTGGTTGTATGGACAGAAATAGTGTTTTGAAGAAAATTCCCAATACGAGTAAACATATAAACAGTAAATATGGCGAAAACATGGACCATCGCCGGGTATATTTTTGAAAAATTGTGTAATAACCAAGCAGGGAGCTTCCGGTCTGAGACGTGAATACAATGCAATGCAAAAAAGAAGTCCGGGTAAACTGAGGCTACTTCTCAGCTGAATAATTACCTCAGTAAACACTTTCCTGATGAGTTTATGGTCTCAGTCGCTGGTTTCATGTCTTCTTCAATAGAACATGCAACACATTCTCATGTCAATGCGTAGGGTTAGCCAGTCGACATGCATAAAGTCAGTGACTTAGGATTAGGTACTAACACTTCTGGTGGTTGTGGAAAGGGTAGGGGGCTTCGGGGGGCTGTCAACACCTTTAACACGAACACTAGCTAGCTAGAACTTCTGGTCTGTACGGGACGCACCAGGGCGTCTCACACAGTCAAATAACTACGCTTTGTCACCCTTTCTCAAATCGTCGGTATATGACGCCCTGAGATGAGAACGGGCTCCAACATGATGATCATTTATTAAATTATGGTCCCATTTTTAGGAAAATAGACCACAGAGCAGAGTATGCTTCAGGGCGGGTTTATCTGTGATTGACAAGTCGTTACCATGGCGACCTGTCATTCAGGCCAGAGTGACTCGTACCCACGGCGCTGTGTAAATTTAACCAGCGCCGTTGAAAAAGCTTATTAGGAGTCGGCTGTTCACTTTCTCTGGTGAGTACGTTTAGTTTTAAGTCTGTTGTTTGCTAGACAAAGTTATCAGCCCTGTTAAAATGACAGTTAACGTGAATTACAGATGCACCTAGCTAAGCAAGCTAGCTAGCTCCACACAGCCGTTAGCTCCACCATCTCGTCCAAATATGGTCAAAAAATCAGCAGTTCAAAACAGCAGTCCCCAAACCAACGGGTGACGTCATGATGACTACATCCATTTCTTGTATACAGTCTATGATAATAACTGCAGTATATTAGTTTCTTTTCATCAAATTTACAGTTAAACTTGTATTCCAGGTGTATTAGAAGATATTCTGTCGCATTATAATGAGTTGAATGTTGGTTTTGTGTTAACCTGTTGAAAACAGACCCCCTTTTCCAGAAAAAACGCCTAAAATTACAAACCCAAAATAAATCTGGAATATCTCCTCAACCATTTGGCCTAGATGCATAATTCTGGTCTCCTTTGAAAAGTCTGAAGCTAAGGAATATGAATCCATTGTGTATTAATATATTTATTTTACTTTTACAGACTACATGGAGATGCAATAAAGAAAAAATCTGAAATTTTTAGCCTCGCCTGGTAAAAAAAAGCTATATTTTGATGCAATAAACCATCAAAACCATCCTGAGTTAGCTTTTAATGCAACTGAATATCTTCTAATACACCTAGAATGCAATTGTAACTGTAAATCTGATGAAAATAAACTAAAATACAACAGTTATCATACAACATTTTCAAACATACCAGGCAGTATTTATTGTTAAAATGCTGACTTATTGATAGATATCTTTAAAATACTTTCAGTCCATACAACCTATTTCCAAATGACAAAACATTGAAATATTGATAAAAACAGGAGTATTCATCAACATTCCTGTCACCAAAAGCACTCCCATGTTTTACAGGCCTGTAGATTTAGAACGGAACATCCCACAGGGGGGGGGGTCAATCGATCCGGCTTGATGCATGTCTATATATCTCCAACGGATCGGCCACAAAATGGCAAAAAACACCGTATGTTCTCAAGCAGCATGTTTCCTCTCTGCAGAAAAGACGACAGCAGGCAGGCAGCTTGCAGGTATTGCGCAATAATCAAGATGGCGCCCGCTTAGACTCGGAGCAACAACATCGGCGGGTTTCGGAGTTAAAACGATGAAAAAAAAAATCAATCATCAATCATTATCATTGCCCAGAGCACCGGGGTTGCTGTTAAAAATATACATTTTACACGAGGCAAGGATGAAAATATCATATTTTCCTTTATTGTATTTCCATTTACACTTTAATAGCAAAATATATAGGTTCATTTAGTTGATTCATATTCCTTAGTTTCTGACCTATTAACGGAGACCAGAATTTTGCACCTAGGCCTAATGGTTGAGGAGTTTCCCCGATTAATTTGGGGTATTATTGTTTGCGTTTTTCCTATCCAGTTCAGCCCACACTGAAGAAAATCTAGTCGTTATCATCGGTGGAACTTGTGTTTTGTGCCCCTGTTGGTTTGAATCTGTACACAGCACAAAAGATGGGTTTTTTTGTTTGTTTTTTACAGGAGCAATTATTTTATCTTTTGTCCTGACGATTGTGCTGAGAAAAGTTAAGCCATGTTTAACTTTTTTGCTGACGACCCTGTATTTTCTCTGTGCGGAAGCCCTGCTGCTACGCCAGACTGACTATTAAATGAAAACTACTACTTTACGGAACGATGACGCAGACGCTCACGATTGGCTCTCTAATTACCGGATGCTGCTGACAGAGGTTTTCACAGTATATTTTTATTAAAATACTTTGTACCATGCAAATAATAATTATAGCCTACACTTGTACTGTGTCGCCGTTTACCTTTACGATTCCCAGTCTGTTTTCCGCCACCACAGCTGCTTTTAACCCCCCTGTTACATTCAGTAACAGTTGTGTGGTGCGATTCTTCCTCTGCATTACTTTTTTTTCCTTTCGCCAGATCTGTAACTATGGAGTAGCAGCTTCATGTTTACACTTGCACCCACATGCCCAGTGTTCGTGGACGTCCACTAGATGTGCGTTTCCAGTTGTTTTAATACAGATCAACTCTGATATGCAGCTAAAACACTGGTGTGGACGGAGATCGTATTCGTTTTAATTCTCCTTTTCTAAACTAAAATGGAGAAGTGTGGATGGGGCCTACGCTCACACCCTCTATGGGAAGAAGAATGTGTCTGACTTGACGTCAGTGTTTTTACACCCCACCACTTCACTCGCCTACAGCTTATGTTTGACTATGAAGTCATCTCAAACACACCCACTGCTTGCAGTTTTGACACAAACGTCTCTCGTGGACGGGTTTTTCAGGGGCCAGTGAGTGTTTGAGTGACAGCTCAGCGCCACAGACATTGTTCAGTGCAGCAAGCTGTGTTCACACCCTAAACACTGGAAACTTTACGGGAAACTGGATTGCTACAAGATTAATGAATTTAGTATGGATCATAAGTTGTCTGAGCTGTAGCCTGCTACCAGTTTGGATGAAAAAATAAACAAAACATCAAATTTCACTAGATATAGAAAAAGATAAAACCTGCAAAATAAACAGGTTGCTCAGATAAAATCAGGAAAAGCTATCTGATGAAAGTGGGTTTTTAGATAAGACTTAAGACGACATTGACTCAGGAGACCCATCCCTGAATAGTTAAAAGTTCTAAACTATAATCTGGAGTAAAGGCATGGAGAGAGAGTTATAAGAATATCCAAAAAGAACTTTTATCATACCTTTATTTAACCGGGAAAAAACATCATTGAGATTTAAAATGTGTCCTGGCCAAGACAGGCAGCAGCACAATTAACAAGGTTGCAGACATTGAGACATACAACATAACATTTTCCAGTAGCTATAAATAGTAAATTACAATAAATCATAATTTCTTTAATATTCCCCGCATCAGCTGATTCCAAGCAAAAGGGGCAGCATACTTACACAGCCCTTTAGCCAATTCAGTCTGGACTTGAGGGAACAATAGTCCTTAGAATGAAGACAGTATCTTCCCATACATTAGTCCTGGATGTAGATTTGTAAGGGCGCCAATGTTTGTAATGAACCTCAGTGCTCCATGGTAAACAGTATCCAACACTTTCAAGCTTTGAATGGATGCATGAATGTATTTAACATTGCCATAGTCCAGCACTGACATAAAAGTGGCAGCAACAAGTCTCCTTTTGGTTTCAAAGGAAAAACAACTTGTTTTTTAATATAACAAAACTCAATCCTAAAATAAAAAGCGCGCCAATTTAAAGAGGCTACTGCTGTAATGTGATCATACATCTTGGGTCTGATTAAAAGCTGAGCCACTTTACAGTCATTTTAAGGTTTTTTGATTAAGACAAGATAAGAGATGCAATAACTGTTGCAATAGTCCTAGTGTGAGGAAATAAGGGCATGTACACCAGTTACCTGT